CCCACCTCCCTTTCCACATCCCTCAGTTTCCCAGAGTCAAGAGTCTCTCATGGTTTGTCTCCCTCTCTGATTTCTTCCCATTTAGTTTTCCCTCCCTTCCCCTGTGGTCCTCTGCACTATTCCTTATCTTTTTTTTTTTTTAATTTAAATTCAATTAGCCAACATATAGTACATCATTAGTCTCAGATGTAGAATTCAATAATTCATCAGTTGCATATAACACCCAGTGCTCATCACATCACGTGCCCTCCTTAATGCCCATCACCCAGTTACCCCATCCCCCCACCACCCCAGCAATCCTGTTTGTTTCCTATAGTTCAGAGTCTCTCATGGTTTGTCTCCCTCTCTGAAGACTTCCCGTTCAGTTTTCCCTCCCTTCCCCTATGATCCTCTGTGCTGTTTCTTATATTCAGTGAGGCTGGGAAGATTGTGGGGATGAAGATCAGGAATTCAGTTTGAGATACAAATTTGAGATACCTGTTTGGCAGCTACATCAGTATATCCAGAAGGCAGTTGGAATCTGCGTTCTGACCTTCAGAGGAGAGGTTAGGCCTGGAGATACATACAGGTGTGCGAGACGTCAGTATAGATGCTATGTATGTATGTATGTATTTTTGCCACGGGGTGTGTTTTACTTTCATTAATCATATAAACAATTACAGATGGTATATACATTGGTGAGCTTTGATGGGATCACTAAGTAAGTGTGGCTAGAAAAGAAAAAACAGGCCAAAACCGCGATACTGTGTTGGTCCAATATTAGAAAGTCAGGGAGGAAAGGAGGGAGGTAGTAAGCAGTGAGGGAGAGGGAGAAAGGTAGCCGAGGGGTAGGAAGACCAGGACAGTGTGGTGTCCTGGAAGTCATGGGAGTAACCCATTGTTTTAAATGCTACAACAGATCCAGTATGGTGAGGACTGAAAATTGATTGTTTGCGGGTTTCTATTGACCACCCGGGGCCAGAACCAGAGCCTTTGCTCTGTGCTAGAAACACAGTGACAAATTATTGCAGTATCTCCTTTTCCTAAGCTTCGCACAGCTTCCCCCCTTTCACCAAATATATGCTTTTTCCCCCCTCACAGGATAAAATAAAAGTGATTAGCTCCCTTTTCAAAGTTATTATAATCTTACTCTCCCTCTCTGAAACATTCTATTAAGCATGACTGGATTTAAGGGGTTCCCACAAGTCTCAACCACTTACTTCTGTACAGATTCTTTGGCCACGCCTATAGACAGCTAATCTCATCCTACACACATGGATTTTCTTGCTGTATCTCCTGGGATCACCTCACTTTCAACTTGTACTTATGTCACTGGCACCCTTAAAGACTGGTAATAAAAATGGGATATTTGAAATGTATGAACAAAGTATACTACATGGCACGTTGTCAACGCCATCCTTTTCCACTACTCATTTCCAAGTTTCTGATGATTAGTGATGATCCTTAATGATCGTTCTCACACCCATCCATTCACTCAATGAACTTGTATCATTGGGGAACATATTAGGACTATAGCTCTTCCAGCAATCTAAAGCAGATGCAATAATATAAATAGAAAAACATAATAAGAAGGGACAATTATCCATACTAGAAAATTGATTATTTGCTGTGAAAACTATTTTTAAGTTGTACTCTAATCACAAAAGTAAAAACGCCATAGAGGCACAGAGGTCTTATCCATCTGCAAAGGAAATGTGATTTAAATAGTATGCTTACAACGAATAAAAACAGAATTATTTGGATGGGTAGAGTATAATATTGACTTAGACGTTTGGTCATAAAAAAGGGTATTTCTCATGAGTTTTCATTTTCTTTTTATTTATCTATGAAAACTAATTTCAGAGAAGTGTGTAATTTTAAAATCTAAAAAGCCGGCTGTTAATCAGGCTGATATTTTCAGTTGGAATGAATTCCTTTGACAGCATGAACATATACTCTCCAACATGTCTGTAATAGAAATCATTTCAGAAGACACCAGACCGCCACAGACTTCCCACGGCCTCTCAGCAAGGCAGCGGTGGTCTTAAGGATTGACACTTTTCATCTTTTTGAAGATAGACACCCTCCAGTTGTTGTCACCCCACCCCGCCCCTGGAGATCAGGAAGTATGCAAAGCTATCCAGTGGACTTGGAATTACACAGCAAAGTGCAAATGGACATATCCTATCTAATATTAGGATTTATTTTGAAGGAGAGTGGGAAAAATGACGGAAGGAAGCTGCACACAACATGGCCAAACATCTGGCTGGTTTTATATCCCAGAAACAGCTTGGGACTAACTCACAAGGTCTCTTGGCAGAGGAGCTTGATGAAAATACTGAAGCCATGAGGAGAAGTGTTCTTTTGCCGAATCCTTTATGTCGCTATCATATGGTTTATTAACCTAAATGAGAACATGTGCTCCATTTTTTTTAAAGTTCTTATATGTTTAAATGAGGAACTTCTGATTCTGTGTACAGTACAGATATGGCTCCCACAGCATTTACACCAAATAAACCTTAATAATTTTCAGAAACATTAATCCTGGACATGTGGTGATGTCTTCCTTTCTTTCAAATAGCACTTTTGGAAGCAATGAAGGGAGAGCTTGATAAGATACAAACCTAAGCATGAATTCAAGGGCACTGGTGATTTCTTGGATGCCAAAATCTCTAAGGGCAACTAATTTTAATTGCTTCATGCATCTATTTGTTCAAGCTTTACATTTAATTGATACATTCTTAAGTCATTGAGACAACTTAATTTTAAACATATTTCTGGCTCATCTGCTAGATACCGGAACTGTGGAATGTGCAAGTCCAACTTAAGTCTTCTAGAATTTCCTACCTTATTCAGTATATTGAGGTTCAGTGTTTTAGAAGATTTTGCATTCTCTCATCCTCAAATGTGTTAAGTGAATTTATTCTCCACTAAATATCCAAGGTAGCCTCAGTTAGCTGGGACATTTCATATTTTTTATCCTGAACCATTTTGAGTTTATTCTTCATGGCATCAGAATTAGTTTCTCATCTCAGAGTTTGCTATATTTATTTTTCTAGTGATTCAGTAGTTTATTGGCAGTCAGTTTGTAAAATCTCTCAGGGATTATCTAAATGCAGGATGTTAGGAATAGAAATACATATCATTGCCTCTCCTGTCAAAAAACATAATTAACACACATGATTTATCGTCTTGCCAAAGTGGATGAGAATTCCAGTGGGTGACATCAAGTCACAGTTTCTCAGTGTACATAAGGACCGCCCTCAGCCCAGCACACGTTCTTCTCTTCTTGTATTCCTGTCTCTTTGGCCTCCTGTAAGTGTGTGTGTGTTTTGGACAGGTTTTGGACAATTTTGATTTAATTTATCACATAGAGAATACTGCATTTACGAAGGACAGAAAAAGTGAAAGTACAGTACTTTTATGAGCTTCCTCATTCCTTTTCATTGTACATGTAATTCACTGTATAGATGTATAACTTATTTAACCAGCCATACATTGTTGACAGATACTAGATTGTTTCCAGTCTTTTGCTATTACCAAAAAAGTAAAATGCTGTAGGAATATATATATATGTAGGATATTTCCCAGAAGTAGAATTTCTAGGTCAAAATTCTAGGCATTTGTAATGTTGATAGTTATTGCTGAATTCACCTTCATAGTGGTTTGTGCCACCCACACCAGAGGAGTCAGAGAATTCCTGTATCTCCTCAGTCTTGCCATGAGGGAGTTTTGTAGGTATTTTGGGGTTTTGACAACATGAAAAAATAGAAACAGTTTATTACTGTATTTTAAATGAGCAGTCGTGGGGTGCCTGGGTGCCTCAGTTTGTTAAACATCTGCCTTCGGCTCCAGTCATGATCCCAGGGTCCTGGGGTGGAGCCCCGCATCAGGAGCCTGCTTCTTCCTCTCCCTCCCTCTCTCTTTCACTCTTTCTCTCAATCAAATAAATAAAATAAAATCTTTAAAAAAAACTTAAATGAGCAGTCCTGTTATTATGAGTGAGGCTCACTGTCTTATCAAAAGCTTAACGGCCACTAATATTTCTTTTTCTTTGAATAGTCCCTGTATAGTTTTGTGTTTTTGTGTTAGTTGTTGGTCTTTTTGTTGTTGTTGATTTATAGGAGCTCTTCAGGTAATTTGGAAATAATTTCTTTATCTGTGATAGGAATACTTTTGGTTTTATCAGTTTTTCCTCATCAGAATTCTCTACTCTCATGAGATGCCCGTGAGAGAATATAGGCTTTGTGCACCTCTAGAGGGTAGTTCTTTGCCAATTTCTCCATTTTTTACATGATTAGATTTTATTTCTTCTGCTGTTAATTGTGCGGAATTATTTTCCTAAATATGTACGATTCCATCCAGGTTTCAATGTATTTTCGTAGAGTGTATTTTTCAAAGAATATGTTAAATCTTTGTTAATTATTTTGTCTTCTTAATCTATCAATTTCTAAAAGCCAAATAACAAAAAAACAACTTTTTGAAATCTCTCACTGTGATTGTAGATTTGTCTAGTTTTCTTCGAATGTGTCAATTTTTGCTGTATATATTTAAGGCTGTATAATTAGATACTTTCAATCTTAGAAGTACTTTAAGTTCCTGTATTATCTGAAATTTTGTAACTTTTTTAAAAACCAAGTTTTCTGGTTTCCCACTATATAGCAGATTCTTAAATAATTTTAGGGCATAACAATTTTCAGAAAAAGAATGATTGACTTAAGATTTTATGGAAATCCTAGCAAAATCAAGTGGATGAAATGCCTTAGAAAAAAGGAATATGGGGAATTGCAGTATATAGAGAATGCCTAAAATATAAACAAATGAATTGCTTATACATATATTAGAAGGTCCATAAACTTCCTCAATTACTACACCATGTTCCAGTGAGTAAATTATCAACCTGCATCTGCCTAATTGGGAGACGTGAAGCTTAACTTTATTTTCCCAAGAAAAAATCAGAGAAAGCCAGATATTTCATTTTTGGTAACCTTAATTGTTAAATTATTTCCTATATTGTATAGATTCACATTTCTTTGATCAATGGGAGACCAAGTGCTGATGACCCTTCTCCTGAACTGCTAGAATTTACCTCTGCTCGCTATATTCGCCTGAGATTTCAGAGGATCCGGACCTTGAATGCTGATTTGATGATGTTTGCTCACAAAGACCCAAGAGAAATAGACCCGATTGTCACCCGAAGAGTAAGTTAAGATGAATCATATCGCAGCCTGTAAATGATATTTTTAATTGTTAAGTAATTTTAAAAGATCTCTTTAGTGATTTGTAGGAGGGGTTGTTATCAGACTAAAATTCAACATAACCTTCCTTTGTTCAAAGCCAAGCTCTGCCACTTATTAGATATGTAGCATTTATCAAACTTTTTAACATTTTTGAACTTGAATTTCCTCATTTGTAAAGTGAAGATTGCAGTGCCTAATTCATAATCTTATTTTTGATGACTGCATTTGTTTTTGTCACTTTAGGTGTTCTGAACTACTATCATAATTGCCATTGGGGAGTTACTACAGGAGGTGCCATGGCTTTGAAACATTTTTGGCCACAATCCACACTAAGAAATATATTTTCTGTCATAACTCAGTATAGTACATACACATGCACATACACATCTCAATATATCTTACACTTTTTAAAATTTTTTAAAGATTTTATTTATTTATTTGACAGAGAGAGACACAGAGAGAGAGGGAACAAAAGCAGGGGGAGTGGGAGGAGAAGCACAGGGAGCCTGATGTGGGGCTCAATCCCAGGACCACTGGGACAATGACCCAAGCCGAAGGCAGACGCCTAACGACTGAGCCACCCAGGCATCCCTGTATCTTGCACTATAATGTGAATAGAATTAGCTGGTGAAATTGTGGAAATGTAGATTCTGGCCCAGTAGGTCTAGGGCAAAGTTGAAAAACAATAATTCTAGCAAGTTTTTAGGTGATCTAAGTGTTGCTATTCTGTGGACCATTTTGCCCAATCAAATAATTTAACTTTATGTTTCATTAATGAATCGCAAGGCATAGTTTTAAAAAGTTCTACTGTGGCAGAAAACTGATTGTATACCCTGTTTTATTGTCTTTTATAAATTGAATATCGGGGGGGGAATGGTGATGGCGTCCCTTTTCATTAAAAATCTTTGAAAACAGGAGCTAACAGAAGTGCTGTTTTCCAATGTTAAACTAGGATTTGTGGATTATGACATAGGGGATCAGTCCAGGTTACTAAAGTAATAATTGCATTTCTTCCTACCTGTTCCTTACCACATTCATTAGTTTATGTCCCACTCCTTATAGGCTGCTATACAACCAAGACATTGTTATCAACTCAGCTATAAATCCATAAAGCAAATCTATGCTAGCAGAATATCTACTCTGTGACTAGAGGTGAAGGTGGAAATAGGATTGTAGAGAGAAACTGAGATTGTGAGACACAGCACTTAATTCTAGAACGATGCACTTAGTTCTAAAAGTCTGATTACTGCCACCAGTTACGAATCGCTGAACCAGCAGACTGAATATCGAAGGGCAGCACTTTTCACAGTTCATGAATACCCCTTATGTATATTTTCTTCTCATTACTTAACTTACCCACACCTAACCGCTCCATCATCCCAAAAATAACTTTTAAGGTTTGATTATCCTCATACAACACACGTTGGATGTTTTAGTGCCCTGCATTTTCCAAACTTGAAATAATTTTACCCTGCATTACATTTCAGCGTATTGTAAATTATCTTATGCAGAAGTAATCATTATTTTACTGCAATGTTTAGCCTCTTGTTTAAAAAATCACCTTTGTTATTATGTTGACATGACTTAAAAATATACCCTGAGGAAGACTGAGTAATTTTGAAGTGAAATTTAATCTTTTCCGACAGTATATCTAACGGAGGAAAAAAAATCAATGTAAATAAATATGTTCCTTTTATCATCTGTTGCAGAAGGCTGAGTGGGGGTTGGATGCACATCTATTATTTATAACTTCATTGTACATGAGCCTTTAAAATAGTGCAATAAAATGCAATATATAAATAAGCTTTTGGAAAGTGCTCAAGTTCAGTAAACACTACATATAAATTTAAATATATAAAATAGGATATTGAATTTCAGCTCTTCATGACTCAAAAGTGAAGCATTATGCATTTATATTTAAAACAAATTTCCCAGTTTTGAAAGCATCTACAAAAGTACTCTATCAGCTTTCTGAGCAAATATCCCTATTCATATCTATATTATTAAGTGATGAAGTTAGTGAAAAGCAGACTTTTACATTACCTAAACTTCTGGCAAGTTTCATTTCAAGTTCCAGGTCTAGGTATATCAAGAAAGAAAAGTAACAAAAAATATTATAAAAGATACTCTATGTAAACAACAAAAACAGGAAAAATAAATGGAAAAAGGGAATTTGTAACTAGGGAACTCAGATTTGTATTCACCTACTTATTCTTGCTGGGTTTTTAATTTTTTCATTTTAATTTTTAATTTTTATTTTTTTTTAAGATTTTATTCATTTGACAGGGAGAGACATAGCGAGAGACAGAACACAAGCAGGGGGAGTGGGAGAGGGAGAAGCAGGCTTCCTGCCAAGCAGGGAGCCCGATGTGGGCCTCGATCCCGGGACCCCGGGATCATGACCTGAGCCGAAGGCAGACGCTTAACGACTGAGCCACCCAGGCGCCCCCTTGCTGGGTTTTTTAATGTGAATAATTAGAAAAATAGAACTATCTACCACGGAGATGGTTATTTGGATTCTATAAGATACCGTATTCTCACAATTATAAAATGTTATGTGCATATTAATTAAAATTTTTAAATAGTCCAGTACTATAATTATAAATTATCTTTAAAAATAGGTGGGTAGATTAAAATAATTAAAGACATAGCCCTATATTAATTTCAAATAAGAAAGTAATCACATGGACATTTTCACATAAAAATGAAAAAAATAGCAAGTGTCCCACCTATGTAGTTTACTCCTTACATTATGTTATATCAATCTTGCAGTTCATTACCTTTTATTTCCTCTTAACATGGTTAAGAAACGTTTTGTTATGAGCATGATTTCCTCTAAATATATTGAGTTTCTTCAAATCCATTGAGTAAGACAGTCCGCATGTGATTAATGAACACTGAGCTTCCTATAATGGCAATAAAGGAAGTTTTCTTTCACAAAACTACGTAAAACAACTTTTATGAAGAGTTATTGCTCTTACCCTCCCCCACCCCGCCATAACAACTTGCTCTCAAAAATAAATACTCCAGCATAGACTTTATATGTCTGGGGGAAGGAAATTTCTCAAATGCCCACCAAACGTAAATCAGAGGCGTTCTTTCTCTGGGCTCTGATCACAGCGCAAGGAGTTAACTCGATACCTTTTGTGAGCCTTCCGTTGTTTCCCTCGTGCTTCAAACTAAGGATAAAAGCAGAAAGTAATATTTTTAAGTGAATGTTCCCTTTTGTTACTTACACCTTGCAGTCATCTTAACAGGATTTCTCCCTGGATTGCTTTTTGCAGTATTACTACTCGGTCAAGGATATTTCGGTCGGAGGGATGTGCATCTGCTATGGTCATGCCAGGGCTTGTCCACTTGATCCAGTGACAAATGTATGTATATTTATAGGATGCTTAGCAAAATGAAACTCTCAACTGTCCAATGCTTCATGAGCTGCTTTGCCGACAGGGATGCTGTGAATGGGTGTCAGGTCCCCAGTTAGACAGTGTAACAGAAAGCCGCGCCAGGGTGAAATAGAACTGGCAGTTAGGATGATAGACTTTCAAGTCAGCCACCACAGAAAAGAGATTAGGTTGTTTTTTTGTTTTTTTTTTTTGTTTTTTTTTCCAAAAAGGCTTCCAAACTGGTCTATTTTGAAACCTCTCTAGTGATGACAGCCTGCTGTATGACTTAACTTGAGAGAATGCCTGCCATCAATCAACCTGACCATTTCTTTTAAAAGTTTTCACCAAAAAAAATTAATGCAAACAAATGAAAACTGCGCATGGAATTAAATGGGAATGGCCATGGAACAGGAGGCTGAGGTAGGGCTGGGGTGATACGGTGCAGAATTGAAGAGCGTATTCAAGAGAGTGATGAAACTTCCAGGTAGAAAATGCTAGAATGCTTTTGGCTTGAATTTTTGATTAATGCCCATGTATTAAATAAGCATCATCTAAAAAGAAGATGAATGGATATCTGTTTTTCTCAGTCATAAACTGGTGAAATACAGAATCATCTATAGTATATTATAGGGAAGAAACATATTGAGTAGTAAGATCAGTGAACATAGTTACTTATGTACAGATTTTTTTTTCTTCTAAAACTGTAATACAAATGGTATTTCTCTCAAAGCTGGTTTTCTGACTAATGCATCATAATGTGACTGCCTAGGGAAGGTTCAATGCCCTGGCCTATCCTTCTGGGCAAGTCCATGGTGCGACTCTCTGCAGGGTGTGGCTGTTGTCTCCCATGTGTTCCCCGACCTGCGAGAGCCCACAAGGCAGCCTTGCAGGCCCGGTTCCACACAGTGAACTGGACTCTACTCGGAGCACACACAGAGAGGAGATTCAGTCCTGGGACATTAGATTTCTATTAGACCTATGGCCTCTGGTGCCAAGGTATCTATTCTCCTCTTCCCACATCCTTAAATGTTAATGGTACTTTGCCTTAAAGTGGACATCTCCAAACCAGAAAACCTATAGAACTCGGGAATCAGAGTGAGTTCAGTCTTCAAGATCGATCTCAGTTGGGCCTGTGCTCTCTTTCAGACTTGAGCCCAGTGATTCTAGAACCTGTCTGGACCTCCTTAGGCTGGTGTTGATCAAATATGTCCACTCCCACAGCTGGTAGTTCTTCCTTTCCAGACTGACAGGAATTTCACATTTTGGCACATGGTCTCAAAGTTCTCTCTTTTCTTCCTTCCACCTTCTGGGGAAAGCCCTTCATTTGTGGTTCCAAAAATACTAAAATTATGCTTTCCCCCCAATTTTTGCCTAGAAATCCCGCTGTGAGTGTGAGCATAATACATGTGGTGATAGCTGTGATCAGTGCTGTCCGGGATTCCATCAGAAACCCTGGCAAGCTGGGACTTTTCTGACTAAAACAGAATGTGAAGGTATGTTCCTTAGAATTCAACAACATATGTCGTTCTTCCTTTTCCGGGATACAGATAATGTAAACATGTGGTGATTTTAGGTAAGTGCATGTTTCCAGTTTATATATTTTATCCAAGGCAAGAGCTGGTACGCTCTTTTACCCTGCTGTTTTACTCAGTTTTGTTTTGTTTTTTAATTTGACAAATATTACTAAACACCTAGACTTTACCACTGTGTGGGCGTTATGAAAAATAGATAAAAGCATAGTTAAAAGCATACTTTTTATAAAAGTACACTTACTGTCATCAGAGTAAATCTCAAGCTATAAGCATTATATAAGCGCGTGCACACGTGCGCACACACAGAATTGACCTTGAATAAAGTGGAGGTTAGGGATGCCAACCCCCACCCACAGTTAGAAATTTGTATATAACTTCTGATTCTCCAGAAACTTAATTACTAATAGTCTACTGTTGATCAGAAGCCTTACCAATAACATAGTCAATTAACATGTATTTTATATATGTATAATATAATGTATAATATATTGTATTCTTACAATAATATCTAACTTTTTCTCATTTTTTTGGTATTCCTAGGCTACATGGATCATTTGTGAGTTTTTTTAAATTGTCAAAAATCTCCAAAAAAATTTCAATAAATTTATTTAAAAAAAGTCTGTGTATAAGTAGATCCACGCAGTTCAAAACCCATGTTGTTTAAGGGTCAACTATGTACACACACACACAAACACACTCCACTAGAAATGCAAATGAACACTCAGCAAAATCTACACTATAAAGAGACTAATTTTCTAATACGTTTATATGTTTGTAAAATGATTCTGAAACCAGTATAGCTCCAGATTCTTCTGCCTTCTCCCTTTGTAGCTCCTCCCCTGGTCGACAGCTTTTTGTATATCAATCATCTACTAAATGGAGAAAAAAACAGAGAGGAGAGATTATACCTTTCCAGTTAGAGCTATATCATTACCTAAAACACAAAAAAACACTCTGATTCATTAGTTATACTTTGTAAAGGGTGGTGTTTGGGCACAGTAGCTGGGAAGAATATGAGAGTAAAAGGTAACAGAGAAGGCAAAAAAAATCGAATTTGTAGAAAAATAATATTTTAATGGTAATAATAAATATTTTAAATGTATGGTTTCTCATTAATAACAGTATAAGATACTAATATTAGAAATGGCACCAGTGATATTCATTAGCATAAACTATGCTGTAACAATTATGGGACGGTGACAACCAAGAAAAAAGCCAGTAATGAAAAATAGTAAAAAATCGGCTGTGCAAATATGTGTCAACAAACACTCATTAACACTTGAATGTTATCATTTTTAAAGACAACCCCATATGTCCAGTTTTTTCAGAAGGGAAATACTCAAGAAGTGTAGCAGATGACTTTGTAGCCTAAAATTGTCAACTGGCCCAACATGGTGACAGGGATGCTAGAGAAACCTGTGTTCTGGAGATCTGCTCAGGCCAAGACAAGACCTAAAAACAAAGACTTGTGCTGAGCTATAAATCCAAACTAGCCACGAAGCCCAATTCAGTTGAATTCAAATATTAATATTTTAGCGAGTCCTAGCTACATTTTTTCAGTTCCACGGGTATATATGGCCCCCAAAACAGGCTTGGTAGACATTTTAAGCTAATATCAACTTTGTATATTTATTTAAAAAAATGTTATCACGTATCATGTGTCAGACATGGTAGGTTCTTAAAACTATTGAATCATAGCAAACTTTAATCATAAAATCCCCCAACCATAAAATATTTTCTCCTGAGTTTAAAATTCTGCATATACTATCAATGCCTTGAGTCCCTCCATTTTCTGTACTCACCTTTTTTTTAGAAAAGATTTGCTTATTTATTTTATAGGGGGGGAGGGGCAGAGGATGAGAATCCCAAGTAGACTCCGTGCTGAGCACTGAGCCTGATGCAGGGCTCAATCTCACGTCCCTGAAATCATGACCTGAGCTGAAACCAAGAGTTGGCGCTTAACCAACTGAACCACGCAGGTACGCTTTTTTTGCCTTTTGATTCGTGTCTGCCTGACTGTGAAGATGTTTCGTTAGAAGTCACCCATTTTTACTAAGTTCTATCTGCAGAAATAGGCCACCACCACATACTGTGGTAAAAGGGCATCCGGAGTCCCAGCTTTTGTTTTCTTCACCTATCCCCATTCCTGACCATCCCTCGGCTTCTCCCAGTGAGAGCAGATGTTCATTCCTAAGAGTGAATTTAAGTGAAATGCCACTCATGTTCTCAAACATCTTTAAATTTAATTATATTTCTCTTCCTCTGGTGGAATATCAGCAATCCCAAGTGGGGGCAGCGTTTGAGGGCAGAGATTCTTACTGTTGCCCCTGACATTCTGTCACACAATTCTAGTTTTGTAAAGTGGATCTGCAAAATCCTGTACCACTCTCCATTTGTGTATATATATTTACACAAGGAAACAAAAAGTATAGCTCAAATTTGTGAGCAACAGGGATGGACAAAGCAACACAGAAGCACATTGCCAATTGTTACTATATACATTTTTTAAATAGTAGAATTCTGAAACAATTATCTTTTCTTATGGGACAGATGGGAGGCTGTATTTCCAAATTGAAAAAAAAAATGTTTTTTTATTTTATCCACAAATTAAAGATAGGAATCCAAACCTTAGAACCTTACATAAATATCATGCTTTTATGTATGCATTCCTAAAAGCTTATATGAAAATTTTCTTTTCCAAGTTGAATTGTGTTCCAGTCACCTTAAGATGTAGAAAAACCCTTCTGTAACATGACATATCCTTCTATAAAATGAATAATTACCTACTAATTCATTTGAGTTTAACTTGGATTTTCATCAGTCTGGCTTACTTAAGGCAAGATATACCTCTAAAAAGCAAAGAATATTTCTTCCCCTGCTAAGCCTGTACTAAAGACATTTCTATCACGTGTCTTGGACATTCTGTGAAATAGCAAACTGCTGATGGCCGAGTGAAAAATTGCTCTTTGTGAGTGGGTACCATCCATGTTCTCTGAGGCTATAAATGGGGAATTTTGCAGGTGCAGGGCCTTTAAAACAGCCGTGGAAACTGTAGGCTGAGGGCCCTGGGCATGGAATGTGAAAAGCAGGGCTCCCCCAGCCTCAGTGTTTTACCTACTTAGCTCATGGTTATAAATACTAAATCTAAATAATGTGAGAATCACTTTGCATTCCTCTATATTTCCCCACTACTTAAACTGGAAGCAGGAATCTTTCCTGTTTTCTTGCAATGTATTTTTAAAACAGGATTTTTAAGAATTCTTGTGTATTGTCCTAAAGATATAAAACTGCTTCTAATGCCTAGTGATTTATATTTATGACTACAGGTTCCCTAGAATAAAGTTTGAAAACTTTCCATCAGTATAGCAAGAATCCGGTATTCTAAACCAAAGTCAACACACTGGGGAAGCTATTTGCTACAAACATGACAAGGAGATGATATTCTTACTATATTAAGACATCTTCTATAACAATAAGAAAGAACTCAATAAACGGGTTAAAAATGAACAAAGATTAAAACAGGCATTTCTCAGGAAAAGAAAAGACTCAAAACCATCTAAAGAGGTTATCACACTTATTCATAATTAAAGAAGTACCAATTAAAACAATGAAAATACTCTTTTCAACTTATCAAAGCTTATCATTCATTCACTCAACAAATACCTGAATGCTTACTATGTCCAGGAACTAATTAAGAGGGTTGATAATACACAGTGTTGGTGCGGCTAAAGTTTTATCATATCTATTGGAAGGAAAGTAATCTGACATAGCATTTTGGGGGGGAAATTTTTCAAATTAATTGAAGTTGAAATTTGACTAGAAATTATACTTGTAGGAATTTCGCCTATAGATGTCGTCGGATAGCTGTACAGAGCACATTATGACTCTGTCAGGAGCACATAATCACTACTACGACTGCTTCTAACATTTATGCAGCGGAGTATTTCCCGGGTGCCAGCCATTCCACTGGGTGTTTTGCATTCTCACCACATCCGTAAGAGGGAAGCATAAAAATGACACCAAGTGGGGCGCCTGTGTGGCTCAGTCAGTTAAGTGTCTGCCTTCAGGTCAGGTCATGATCCCAGAGTCCTGGGATGGAGCCCCGTGTAGGGCTCTCTGCTCAGTGGGGAGCCTGCTTCTCCTTCTCCCTTTGCCTGCTGCTCCCCTGCTTGTGCTCTCTCTCTCTCTGACAAATAAAAAAATAAATCTTTTAAAAAAATGACACCAAGGTTTAAATTTTCTTCACAGAGTCACTCATCTGACAAATGGGAAGCAGTATGACATTAGAACCCCCAATCCTCTCCCACCTCCTTGTTCTCCTAGTATGTACTCAGTGTTACTTATAAAAGAGAAATCTGGAAACAATATAATTACCCATTAATAGGGATCTGTTAAACACCCCATTCAAGAAGTACCCTGTGTAGCCTTAGGGGAAACATATGCTAATAGAGAAAGAGTATGCTATTTATTGTTAGTAAAATTTGGAAATAGTTCAGAACAGTTTATAAATGTTTCCCTCTGTGGCGGGGGGGTGGGGGGTGGGGGGGAAGACTAAGCTGTGTGCCCCACACATGAAGCTGTATACACATATGTACCCACCCCCCCACACACGTATATGTGGACATCCATGTAAGAACATCTAAGAAACTCAGCATCTGTGGAAGGAGATTCTGCATAATATATCTTTTTCCCTAGTTCCCATCCTAAAATAAATTTTACCCATTTTTTTAAAGCCTTACCCAGTTCTTTCTGGGGGAATAATTTTTTCACATCCCTAAGCTCCTAGAGTATGGCATGAAACAGAAAAGGAGGAGAAAGAAGGGAAGGGGATTGGAAGACAGGAGGATCAAGGGGGAAGGGGGTCGGGGGAAAAATCGATTAAGAACTTATATACAAGGCATTATGCTAATGATTCTACAGGCATTTTCTCACCTAAAGCTTTTAAATATTCCTGTCTGGTAATTACTATTGACCTCTCCATGTTTACAGAAACTGAGCCTAAGTGAAATTAAGAAGTTCCCTACATCACATGACTACAAAGTACTGGAGCACCAAGACTGGTGCAAAACAGTGTGATCTCAGCCACTAAGCAGACCAGCTGTCATATTTCCCTGATTCCTTGGCACTTATCATACAGTTCACCTCTCTTATCAGATAGAACTTGAAGGGATTTGCCAGGTGTTAGCCCTGTAGACTCAGGAGCCTGACTTTAGAGTGAGGTTGACAAGACTGATTTGGTTACCTTCTATAATTACTTCACTTCTCTTTATCTCCGTGCCTGATAGATGAAAAGAGTCCCTAACTCGTAAAAGCTATTTTGAGAATTAAAATCAGCGGCAATAAATATAAAACAGAACATAGCATATAAAAAAACCCAAGTTTTATTTATTATCAGAAGCACAAAAAAGGAACTATGTCCTAAGTGTCCTTTGTTACCCATAGGCTCTAACGCTGAGATTCACATATAATAATTATCCATTTCAGATTACCTGGATATTAATCATTCAGTGCCATAGTTTAATAATTTATTGTTTGTCATAATAGGAAATTATGGGTTGAACCATGAGAAATTTCAGTTTTGTAAGATAAAATCAGTCAAATATTGGCAGTTTCATATGATTCAGTTTAATTTATAGGTTTTAATTATTTCAAGTTCCATTAAAAAGTATGAATTTATTAATATATTCAATAAATCCAAATACTTTCTAGATAATTTTGTACTGATTTTATATATATATATGCTAATGCAATATAATTTCTCATAGAGTACAAAAATCTCTTATATAACAAAATGATTTTCAATATCTGAAACCTGAAATTAATGTTTATGAATTTATTTTTCCCTAATGCAGCATGCAATTGTCATGGGAAAGCTGAAGAATGCTACTATGATGAAAATGTTGCCAGAAGAAATCTGAGCTTAAATATCCATGGAAAGTACATTGGAGGGGGTGTGTGCATTAACTGCACCCAAAACACGGCTGGTATAAACTGTGAGACATGCATTGATGGTTTCTTCAGGCCCAAAGGGGTAAAGTATGCTTTTTCCTTCACAAAGTGTTATTATTGGCTTTTTCATACAGAGATGTATTATATGGAAAAATAATTTTGAAAGCTTCCCTAAATAATTTGACTGCAAATTCTAAGAGGTGACTAGAAGTGTTTCAAAATAGAAACTGGATAAATCTTTGAGGCTGTGGTATAAAACACTTCCATCTCTCTAGAAAGTTCCATTGTGCCCCATTCCTGTCAATCCTCACCCCTTGGCAAACTGATTTTTAGAACGTAAATTAGTTTTGCCTCTTAGTGAATTTCATAAAAATGAAATCATAAAATGAATACAATTTTGTTTTCCTTCTTTCACTCAATATAACATTTAAAGAGTTATCCATGGTGTGTGCATCCATAGTTTTTTTTTTTTAATTACTGAGTATTATTCCTTTGCATGAACATACTGCAATTTTTAATCCATTCTGTTGGTGGATATTTGTGTTTGGTTAGCTCTTACAAAACACTGCTTATATTAAATAAAACATGGCCACAGAAAGACTTATATGTTATGTTAAGTGTTTTTGTGGTCAAGTTTTATTTACCTTGTTTGCATAAGTATCTAGGGATAGAATACTTGTTTTATAGGATATTTATACGTCTTTATATGACTTTATAAGAAACTGCCAAATTCATTTCTAATATTTGGTATTGACTGTCTTTTTGAATTAGCTATTCTAGTGGGTGCAGTCGGTGTGGCGAGTGGGTATTTGGCAGTCACTAAGTCATTCCTATCAATGCTTGGTGCTACTGCAGATCTTCTATTATAAATTTACAGCTGATCCCATTTTGGATTTAATTTTCATATTGAGTGCTTATTGTCTATTCTTATATCTTGTGAGGTTTCCCTTCAAGCCAAGGTATTTATTTTATTCTAGAAACATTATAATTTTAGCTTTTATTTTAAGATTTTATTTATTTATTTGAGAGAGAATGAGATAGAGCATGAGAGGGGGGAGGGTCAGAGGGAGAAGCAGACTCCCTGCTGAGCAGGGAGCCGGATGCAGGATTCGATCCTGGGACTCCAGGATCATGACCTGAGCTGAAGGCAGTCATTTAACCAACTGAGCCACCCAGGCACCCCATAATTTTAGCTTTTAGATCTATGACCCATCTCAAGCAAATCTTTGAGTGTGGTATAAAATAATGATTAAGATCTACATGGTTAACCTGTTGTTCCAGAACCATTTTTTTTTAAGTACTTTTTTTTCCCTTTAAATTGCTTTGAGACAGGGCACCTGAGTGGCTCAGTCGGTTAAGCCTCTGCCTTTGGCTCAGGCCATGATCTCAGGGTCCTGGGATGGAGCCCACATCCAGCTGCCTGCAGAGCAGGGAGACTGATTCTCCCTCTCCCTCTGCCAGCCACTCCCTGTGTTTGTGCTCTTTCTCTCTCAAATAAATAAAATCTTCAAAAAATAAATAAATAAATTGCTTTGAGGCATTTGTGGCAAATCATGTGGTTTGATCATGTGGGTCAATTTCTGGAGCCCTGGTTCTGTCCCATGGATTTATTTGTCCATCCTTGCGTTAATAGCATGGTATCTTGATTTACTTTACCTTTAATAAGTCTAGAATTCAGAAACCTAAGTGCACTAACTTTATTCTTCCTTTTGAAGATTGTTTTGGACATAATGATTTCTTTATATTCCCATACAAATTTTAGAATGAAGTTGTCAATGACAGAAATATTAGTTGAGACTGTTGTATAGAATCTAAATACAGATATGGAGAGAACGAAGACTAATATTGGGTCTTGTAATCCATGAATACAGCATGTCTCTCCGATTATTTATATGTCCTTTAAATATTCACAGCAGTTTCAGTACAGAGATCTTGCATGTCTTTTGTTAATTCTCAGTATATTTATGTATTATTGTAAAAAATAATTTTTAAAATTGCTTAATATTATTATCAAGATTTTCAAATATTGATGTTATATCCCATACCTGAGTTCCTTTATTCATTCTAGTAGTTTTAAACTAGATTATGTAGCGGCTTGCTTTACACTGTGTTAGGGTAGATTAACAGAAAGCTCCAGGTGGTTGTCTAATCTTGCAAACTTGGTTGACAACTCCAATCTCTGTTTACTTTATGGTATGCAGACCTGAAAACTTTACTCACATCATTGAGCTTTCCTGCTGTTACTTTCCACTGGATTCCTTGGAGTATCCAGAACGGATGTATGATTATTGGATCAGTTAAGCATTCGAAGGGTGTTGATATGCAGATTTTGGAGCTCCCCATCTCTGAACATAGATCTCAGCTAGTATATTTTTTTCTTTCAAACCTCAACTTCTTCCAAGTTCTGCCTGCTTTTGATTAATTTCCCAGGCCCTTAAATATTTTGCTTTCATATTTTGTCCAGAATTAATAATTGTTATCTGAGAGTAGATTGGACCATACAAGACACTACCATTACAAAACCTGGAAGCTTCCTGTTTTTATTACAAGTCAATTAAGTGAATTGGAGCCTAGATTATGGTGTTTTAATACTTATAAAAATACTTATGCTACACTATTTCTTAAAAAATTCAAATCTCTCAAGTGCCTAATATTTGGGTAGAAGCCCCATTTCATATCACAAGGAAGTAGAGAAGTTACATGATGTCACATAGCTAGTCAGCAGGCACACCGAGATGTGAGCTCACATTTTCCTAATTGTGGAGACTACATTGTTTGCCCGTGGCTGATGCTGTCTCTCCAGGAAGCTAGATGTTTAATTTGCCTACCTAATATTATTTTTTTAGCACCAAATATAAATTTCTATTTTTATTTAGCCACATCATGATCAATGTGAACAAATGTCCTAAAAAATAAATTTGGGGAAATTACTAATTTTGAACTATGTTGTAGGAAAAGAAAAACATACACAAAAAAAAATCAGAAGGATTTTATTAAGGAATATATATTAGAGACTATCAAGTAAATATTGTTATTTTATTTGTTATAATGATACTATGATTGTAAAAGAAAGATGAATACTGAAATATGCAAGGATTAAAATACTCTATCTGCAGTTTTCTTTAAACTTCAGCAAAGAATGAAAAATGATGGAACTCATATGGCAAAATCTTGATAATTGCTGAATATAGGTAGCAAATAAATAGAAGTATATTGTACTATCTTCTTTGCATTTGTGTATCTATTTAGAAGAAAGGGATTTTGGAAATTGCAAATATATATTAAAGATAATTTCCTATATAATTTTCTCAATATAATTTATTACTATGTATTATTGAATTTATTTTGTCCTTAAAAGTTTGCCAAGTTGAAAAATATTGATCTTTTTATTACATTTGACTAAGAGCCTTTTAATATTCTTGTTAGGTATCTCCAAATTATCCAAGACCATGCCAGCCATGCCATTGTGATCCAGTTGGTTCCTTAAATGAAGTCTGTGTGAAGGATGAAAAACATGCTCGACGAGGTGAGAGCGATAGCAGAGAGCTGTTGTTTTGATAAAAGGGCAACGAAAAGTCAGATATGATTATTTTTAGGGTAACATTTTGCAGTAAATTTCATTCATTTAATAATTTTATTCTCATATCTATCAATGTTCCTTCCAGGAAGCAGTTTTTTATTCATCTCAATAATTATTTTCCTGTAAATTAATTACAACTAATTAATTATAATGCTTTAAAAGCAAAAAGAGTTAAATAATTTATTTTACATTATATGCATATATATGTATATTCACATATACATATTTACATATCTATGCCCATCTATCTTCTGGTCAATCAGAAATCTGTGATGTATATAATTTTTTAATGTCTTGTTATTTATGGAGTTGTTTTTTGTAGTTTCTGTGGTTTCTAGCCTGAAAAGACTGCATTCACTGAGGGATGTGTGTGCTGCATGGGAGGAGAGAACAGACGTCACACACGGAGGTGTAGTCAGTAGTACAGAAAGCAAAACTGAACATAAAGGACTAAAAATAGATAGTAGTCATGAGTTAATGAAGGGAAAGAGGCTGACAGAAATTTAAGCCACATACTTTCTTTGAGGATTGAAATTTGTGATGAACTCCAAACATTGAAGAATCAAATGCCAAAATAACTCCTTGATGTAAAATGTTGAAGAGAGACTTCCAGGACAGTTGCTTGCCAAAGTTAAGTAGAACATTAAGACGTATCTGAAACAGTTTCTTTATACTGCTAAGAGTGGATTCTTCTCTTAGGAAAGACATTGAATCATGGCTACGATATAGGGTTTTTCCTCCCATTGCTCTCAAGTTAAAACACTGGCAATGTTTCTTTGGCACAGTGTAGCTTACCTGGTTTCTTTATAAAACTGTAAGATTATCAAGATAAACCCTACAGTCTTAAATCTTAAAAGATTAAAACTCTGATTATTTTAAATCTCAAATGGTGAATCATTGAGGTCATTTTTCATTTTATGGCTCCTTATCTTTTTGTAGTAACAACTAAATCATGTTATTTTCAGTAATGTCATTTAACTTTTTTCTGTACTTTTTATTTTTTGTACTTTTTAAAGTATATTATTTTTGAAAAAGTGATAAAATATTGAAAAGTAGAAAAATAAGCATACAATGCAGTGGTAATTCATCATAAATACTCTTATTAACATGTTTGTGTTAACTTCACAAAAGGAGTTTTTCCCCAAACTGTTGAGAGTTTCTCTGAAATCTGGTTTTAGTACCTGAATAGTATATCATTATGTGGATATACCATAATTTATTTACCCACTCAACTTTATATAGCTATTAAGATTGTTTCTAATTTTGTTTATTGTAACCAATGCTTTAGTGAAGATATTTGTGTATAAATATTTTTCAATTATTATAAAAACCATACATAGTAAAAATAAAATTTTAACAATTGGGAAGAGAATAAAACAAATAGCAATAGTATCCTCTTCAACTTATTCATCCCCCAATCTCATTTCCAAATTTTATCACATTGAGCCATTTCTTCTATTCAGTTCTGGAAAAACTTATCTTCCAGACAATATCTAAATAGTATTCTTCGTACTTTCATCACCATTAAATATTGCCTACTGACTCTCCATCTTAAAAGACAAAGAAATATTTTCATTCACACTGCTTCCTTCCTTCTCTCCACTATTGAGACATTTTTCTTGTGTATGGTATCTTTCTCATGTTAAATAAAAAGTTTAAGTCATTATTTTATGAGCCATTAAATTTAGACTCCTCTTTTGAGGTCCTACTATGTGTAAGTCCCTATACTCTCCACTGATCTTCCAACTCACTTGGCAATATCTGTCAATTGCATCTTTATCTTTTCAAAGATCATCTATATATAGGTATATAGATATACATACATACACACATAAATATATATGTCATACATATCATCGAATATTATTCAGCCATGGGAAAGAAGAAAATCCTGCCATTATGTGACAATGTGAACAGATCTTGAGGGCATTATGCTAAGTGAAATAAGTGAGACAGAGAAAGACAATAACTGTATGATATCCCTTATGTGTGGAATCTAAAAAAGCTGAACATATTAAAAAAAAAAACCCAACAGAACAGAATGGCGGTTGCCAGGGACTGGGGAGTGGGGGAAATGGGGAGATGCTGGTCAAAGGACACAAACTTCCAGTTATAAGACTAACGAGATCCAGGGATTTAATGTACATCATGGGGATTATAGTTAACAGTACTGTATTACATACTCGAAAGTTGCTAAGAGTGTAGATCTTAAATGTTCTCACCACAAAATGAAATTATGTGAGGTGATGGAAGTGTTAACTAACACTACTGTAGTAATCATTTCACAAAAGCTAAGTCTATCAAGTCAAAACATTGTACATCTTAAACTTATACAATGACATGTCAATTATTTGTCAATAAAGCTGGAAAAACCAAATGCAATAAAAAATAAAAATCAATGATTCCCCCAAAAAAGATCATACAGTTATATTTAATTTGAGACCTAATTAATTCTTCTAATTTTAAAATTGAAATGCAATAATCAAAATTTATAATATAATTATATATTATTCAATATAGACCTGGGTTAGAAAATTAGACACATTCCCATGATACATTTTTATCTTCATGTTTAGCTTGATGATTTTTTAGGAGAGCCTAAGTTGTAGTCTAATGCTTTGGAGTTCTTAGTATGAGTAACCAGATAGTGGGAAATGGTATTTTATGGCATTAACTTGATTACCAGAAAACTGATTACTTTTGGTATAAGGTGGATTTTCCCTCATAGATTTGTAAGAGCTCTTTAAATATTAAAAACAACAACCGATGTTAAATTTGTTATAAACATAAACAGATTTTGTGTCTCGCTATTGTTAAGATTTTTTTTATGTATGAAACTTTAAAATTTTTTATATAATCACCTATTACAACTTAGAAAACTTCTTTAGCTATAATAAGGTATTATGTCAAGATTATTATATTTTAATATTTTAATTGAATTTCTGATATGCCTTTAGAATTCTAAAACCCTCATCTATCCCAAGATCGGACAAATGTATTCATTTTCTTAATTTTTATTATTTCACTTTTTGATACTTAGTTCCTTAATCAGTATGGGATTTATTTGGTATATTTTATAAAGAGAGTTTCTAGCTGTATTTTGTTTTTTCAGTAGTCTTTTTTAAATTGATCTATATTTAATACATTTTTTTCATTAAACATATTAAGTATATTTATTTTATATTCTGTATCTCTTAGTAACATTCTCTGTTACCTTTCTGAACCTAATCCTGGGGGTTGGTTTTTCTGCTAACTTATTCATTGGGGCCTTATTTTCTTGTGTGTTCCATGATTTGTGTGTGTGCGTGCGTGTGTGTGTGTGTGCATGTTTGTGTAAATGTCCTAGTTTATCCTTTCAGGATCCTTGAGTTTATATAATCTCTGATACAATCTCCTAACTTGAGTAGTACCTAGAATTTGTCTTTTGTTCCATAAAGCCACACTCAGTGCTCTAGTCTAGTTAATCAGAGTCAGTCAACTCCAGGAAAGATACTGGTTAAGGGCTGGCTTATTTCTTTAGAATCTCTTCTCTCTCTCTTTTTAATTTTGTAGTTTCTGATCTTCAAGGAGTTTCCTTATTTTAAACCACAGTCATTCTGTCTATCTGTCTCTAACTTTATTCTGTGTTGTCAAATGTTCTGACCAAGAGGGGGTCTTTGGACATCTAGTTCGCTATATTACAATGTTACAACATACACGATATTAAGCACTGGGTGTTATGCGCAAACAATGAATCATGGAACACTACATCAAAAACTAATGATGTACTGTATGGTAATTAACATAACAATAATAAAAAAAAGACACGGTCTTTATATGGAATACATCTACACTTAGTCTCAGTGTCTGGAGATTTTAACGTGAGAAGTAAATGTTAATTTTTTGGAATGCTTTTTCAACCTTTATTGAAATGATCAGATTTCTTTTTCATTTGACTTATGAATATAATATGTTAAAAATGAATTTATTAATATGAAACAATATTTAAATTACCAGAATAAAATCTTCTTGGTTTTATACAAATTTATATTTTATATAAATAAAATCACGTAAGAGCCTTTTAATGTACTTTAGGATTCAGTTTGGTGTTTATTTTATTTAGGATTTGCTCCTCTGAATTCATATGTTAAATTGGTTTTGGCTATGACATCTGCTAGTTGTGCTGTCTTGTCAAACAAATTAATTTCTCTGTGCCTTAGTTTCCTCATGTGTAAAATCGGAAACATAATAGTGTTTACCTCATTTTGAGGTTTTGAGTATTAACTGAATTAACCCATGTGTCGTATGTAGTGCCAAGCATAATGCCTAGCATAAAATAAGTGCTATTTAATTGTTAGCTGTAATTATGTTTATTTAGGGTTATCTTTGTTAGATTTTGATACCTAGTTTTTACTAGCTTCATAAACTAAATTACATAGTTCTCCATGTTTTAGATGCTCCGTAAGAGTTTGAAACATTGAAACCACTGTAAAAACTAACTGCTACTAAAACATTTTTGTGGTGATCTTTGATCATTTGTCCTCTTTTGATATCTTTGATTATCTTTAAGGTTCTCTTTTGCCTTATTTTCTTTCTGTTTATTTTTCAAATCTTCTTCTTTCCTGTGGTGTTCATTTGGTTTTTCTCTTTTTTTTTATAATTACATGAGCTAAATCTTAGCTTATTTACATTTTTTAATGTATTTAAGCTTGAAAGTGGCTACCATTTTTTTTCTATATCCCATAAACATTAAGTTCCTTTCTCACTGCTGTTATATTCTACTTAGAAAGCTTTTTAATCACAATTAAAGTCTTGATTTCTCTTTCACTCGAGTTAAAAGGAGAAACATTTATTTATTCATTTTTAGAGTGGTGGAATTTTGCAAAATATTCTATTATCATGTTTGATATTTCAAATTATTTCAACCCTAATTTATTATGACATTTGTTACAAATATAGAAGTAGTAATTTATGTTAAGAAAACAAGACTTGGATCATTTCTGCTTTGAGAAATTGAACATTTTTGTAGATTGATGAGCTGCAATAGGTAGGTATATACAATATAAAGTGTAATTCAACAATAGTAGGTGATTCATGTTTTTCTATGTCTTTTTTTTCTAATTTGTCTACAAATATTTGAAGTGAGTAGGTTACTGTCATTCTCAGCCACTGATTTTTGGCCAGTTTCTTTTTGAGCCCCCGAATCTTTTGTTGTCTATATATTTTTGTACCTAAAATTAGTGCTTCTATGGAGTATAAATATAATAAGTCATGCTTTTTATTGTATTGTCATCAACGTAAAATGAGGGCTTGACCTAATGGATCTATTTTTTTTTTAAGATTTTATTTATTTGAGAGAGAGCGAGAGCACTAGCGGGGGCTTAGGAGGGAGCGGGGCAGAGGGAGAAGGAGAAGCAGATGCCCCACTGAGCAGGGAGCCTACAGTGGGGCTCAATCCCAGGACCCTGGGATCATGATCCCAGTTGAAGGCAATTAACCAACTGAGCCACCCGGGAGTCCCCTAATGAATCTATTTTCATTGGATTCTACTTTGGCCATTACTAATATTACAACTGTATATGCTCTCTTAATGTAGATTTACATTCTTTTTTTTTAAATATTTCATATTTTGCCTATCTGTTCTGAACATTACACGCACATAGTTTTAATGGGAGCAGTAAGACAGTGAACTCATTTACATATGATTAGCATGTGGGTTGGACAGTCATTCTGCTGTGTGCTTTCCCCCTGTAATGTTCCTTTCCTTCTTTCTCCCCTCCTTTCCTTTTTTGTGTGGGCTATATTTTACTGATTTGCTCTCATACTTTTCCAGATTTTGAAAGTCAATAACGTATTTATTCATCTGCATTTTGCATTTTTCTAATCAAGGAGAATTAAAATTGTCTTTTGCATTTCTCTATTTAAAAAGAGAAAGTAAATTTAAATTGCTTTCATTTTCCTCTATGTCTTGTCCTCAAAATATCTATCCCCACGAACTCTCAGTCTTTTTGTTGTTGTTGTACTCAGTGATGTCATACTTTGATGATTGTTGTTTAATTTGGGGTTTAAGCAGTATATTTTTATTTGCCAGACACTTTTTCCATCTCATGATAGTCTGAGTTATGAAGCAATAGGTATCACAGGTCACTGCTTATTCTTTGAATGTCAATCAGTTATGGAGATGAGTCCTTGATCATTGTGGCAGTTTTTCTGTAGCTTTAGATTTGGTAGATGCTTCGAGATTTTTATCTTTCTTTTCATTCTTAGTATTTTTATTTTTTTACTTAATTCAAATCTATTTTATTTTTTATTATGTTATATTAATCATATTAAAGATAGTTTTTATTATGTTATATTAATCATTTTAAAGATATGTGAGAGATGCTGTGTTAGCGACTTGTAGCCAGCTTCTAATTAAACCTTATACCCTTTGGTTTTAACTCTTTTTTATCGATATTTGTGAATTTGTTTTTGTGTCAAAATAGAATTTGGAATTAGGAACTGAAGTGTGTGTGTGTTTTTCACTTGTCATTATGTGGCTCGTCTTCCCCTTAGGTCTGGCACCTGGGTCTTGTCATTGCAGACCTGGCTTCAGAGGTGTGAGCTGTGACCGGTGTGCCCGGGGCTACACTGGCTACCCAGACTGCAAGCCGTGTAACTGCAGTGGTGCAGGGAGCACAAATGAGGACCCTTGCTTTGGACCCTGCAACTGCAAGGTGTGTTGTATATGCTGGTAAAGTTGGCTGTCAAGACAGAAGGTCCTTTTCCTTGGCTTCTCTGTTCTGTTCTGTCTGTTGACAGTAAGCCAATTGTAACAACTTCTCCTATAAATATCCACCACCTATTCTCCTTGTGGTCCTCCTCTATGTGTCTTTACAACCAGGTTGGCGCCTGCCAAAATCCACCATTTGTCTAAAAACCTACCAACTCAAGAAGGACCGGTCACCCTAAGAAGAGGTGTCACTTTATAGCAAAAACACCTTTCCCCCATTACCCAGCTAGTCCGTGAATTGAAAAACAGCATTACAAAGAGCAACCCTGTAAAACGATTATACACTCAAACCTACCATAGCTTTGTATCTAACTCTGAAAGTAATTCTGCTGAGGGTTACATTCTGGCATTTTAAATAATCTCCTGAAGTTTAGACCCAGATTGTCTGAAAATGCTACATTCTGATTCTTCTGTTTTATTACCGAAAAGGTAAGAAGCCCTAGGGGAATTGATGAAAGCCTCAATTTTTCCTCCTAAGAGTACTCTCAGAAATACAACTTTCTTTGTTGTACATACTCAGCCAATAGCTCATCATGTTAACGCGGAGGGATGCATTACAACCACAGCTTGTACACATAGAGGAAATAGAGGCATGTCCAAGTCTAAAACGATAGAACTGATTTCCTTTAGCTGTACCAATCAGTTCCAAAACATTGGGATTGAGCAGTGTTATTATGTACATTAGTCAAGAGAACGAACAATCATTGAAAAAGTTAGAATGCCATACTGATATAAAAATGAATGTTACTTATTTTTTTTTCTTTGTTCTCAATCATTGTTGGAACCTTATTAAGAACATTTATTAAATCATTAATCTTATCTAGGAAGCTGTAGATTATATGCTTCCATTTGTTATGTGTGTATGTGCATACAAGCATTAAAGTATAACACAAGAAGTAAATATTAGTATTAATGTGATGTGTATATTTATTGGGACAAGAATGTCTGACATAAGAAGCTAAATATTATAATAGTTACATAATAGGCTTATGTTATATCATGGGTCATTTAGGTACCTTTTTTTGACTACTGAAACTATACAACTTCTGTCTGTGTAAACTGACAGAAAGTCCATAATCTATAGTAAAAGTTTTCATGTACTAGAACATAGTAAATTTCCTAGATATAGTACATTTTATTCCAATATTCTTTGAAATGACAAATTGCCACAGCGCAGACCAAGACTGTGTCGCCGTCTGTGGGTGATCATTTGTTTAAGGACCCTAACCTCTGCTCTTCATCCTGTGTGTCTTTTTGGACAATCCTACAGGCTTAGTTCATCTTCTCTAAAAATGTAGCTTGTGTGGATTTTATTTCTTTTACAAAACTCCCCGGAAATCTCTAACTTTTATCACTTGTTCAAATAAAGGACAGGCAAAGCTGAACTTAAAATGAAGAGAAATCTCCCGAGTCTCTAGAATACAGGAAATCAAAATGGAAAAAAGAAAAGGAATGTTTTTATATACGTACTGTTCATACACTGGAGATGTCTGGTATTTGCAAGGAAAGAGTAACAAGTGAGTGAGGGATGCAGGCCTCATTTTTTCCTTTCTTTGGTAAATATAGAGAGAAAGGCTAGAACAAGAGAGCTATAGCCGCTAGCAGGACTCTGAGCGAAAGTTCCTTGAGCCACTGCCTGTCCCCCGCCGGATCTCTGCCTGCCTCTGTCTTGTACCAAGCGATTACCATCCTAGTTAAGAAACATGCCTCTTACAAAGACACTTGAAGCTCTACACAGACAATTAAAACACAAAGCAGCAATTAAGAAATCATAAAAGAATAAATAAGTAGCATCATTAAAAGAGTTGCCCTTCAACTGTGTGATATTTTAAATAGATGACTATAACCTCTTAGATAAGACCAAATGTTTTTTTTTTCTTTTTAGGATAAAAACTTGCAGAAAACCAATTTCAATAGACATAAAATAATTTTAAAAATCACTAATTATATGCATACAGCAGGTGAATTATATCATAATATGCATGCATGTAATGTACTATAATTAAGTACCTATAGTCTCTCGTTTAAAAGAATAATAAATACCCAGTGTTCCAACAAAATATGCATATAATTTAAATACTGAACAGATATTTATTAATGTAGAGAGAAATGTAGTGGGATATTCTGTTTTATAAAAACATGATTAGACATAGGTGTGTCCACTAGTTATTTGAAACAATATGGATCGATCTAAATGGTATTTAACAAGCAATCCTTCATTGAGCAGCTAAGATACTGGAGACTTAAATTCAAATAAAATGATATCAATATAAATGCTCATTTCCAAAATGCATGTTAACCAGAAAACATGTACACATTTATTTGGTTGCACTACACCATGTAATGTGTTTTTTTTATGATTTTCATTAGGAAGAAATATTGTCTTTACTGAAGTATGTAGACACTTTAAGAAAGCACTTGGTTATGAAGTCTTGGGTTTCAGTATATTTCTATTGTAAATTTTAAATGGCTAACATTCTGGTAAGATATCGTACTGAGAAAATTGGGCACCATTTCTGCCACTTCAAGTACAAATAGGCTGGATGAAACAAAGTAAATAAATTTATAATCATGTTAATTCAGGAAAGAGAGGGAAATTTCTAGATGTCAGACCCAAGAGGGAAATCTAAGTTAATAAGCATAAGCCTAAGCAAAGCTGAACAACGAAGGTCATAAGGGTGGGGGATGGGAGGCTGGTCTTAATCCAAAAATGCGGGTTAAAGTTGGGAGTTTTAATGGCCTCTCTAGGACTTGACATTAGGGTTTGGGCTCATGGAGGGAAATTAAAACTACGTTTACTTAGTTTTCACTTAAACTCTAGAAATGTCCCCTGACAGTGAAACAGGCACCAGAAAATTCCACCTGCAGGCTGGCAGTGGCAATGGTAACTTTCTTTCTCCTTTGGGGCTCTAGGTGGGGAAAAATTAGTGTGCAGTGAGGAAGCAAACACCCAAACCTGTGTACCACACGGGAACATGGTCAATTTTATTCTCTCTTTATGTTAGAATTCTTCAACAAGTCAGGCAAGTGGCATTCCCACTTGCCTCACCTGATGATGAGCTCACCATAAAGCAGTACACTGCACAAAAGGAAAATAACTACAAAATGAAATCAGAAGCCATAAAAGTCAGAGTGTTTGTACACTAAGACCTAGAAGAATAAGATAGTCTGAAATAATTTGTATAAACATAAAAGTATATATTTTTATCATATGAATCAGAAAAATATGTGAAAAATGTATAATCATAAAAATATGATTTGAAGATAAAAGAATAAAGAATAGGAAAAACAGTACAAAATAGGGCCCTATATTAAAATAAATAAGCAACTTTGGAAAAGCAGTCAATATCATTTACTTCTAGAAATAAAAATTGTATAGAGTTGAAATTTAAAATTTAGTTGAAATTTAAAATTCAGTGAATGGGCTGAGAAAAATATTAGAAGCTGCTTAAGAGAGAATTAGAAATGCAGGCCTGAGGAAATTACCTATAAATTGACACAGGGAGGTAAAGAAATGAAAATATGAGATGCTAAGTGGCATGGCTCATAGAAGAATAAAATTCAACATAAGAAGCAGGAGTCACCAAAAAAGAGACTAGATGAAATAGGTGAGAAAGAATATCCAAAACTGATGGAGAGAAGAATTGTCAAGAATTAAAGAAAATTCAATATTTTCCATTTGAAGAAGATAAAAAAGAAATCCACCACCAAAGCTCCTAGTAGAAAACTTGCCCACAAGTTAAGATTGAAAGAGTGTTAAATGTATTAGATATGTTTTTATTGTATATATCATATGTACTAGAGACAAATATGTATCATATGTACAAGAGACAAATATCAGATCATTGTGTGTGTTTACCATTCTCAGTCCAACTGCACTGAAAACACTACTCGATGATGTACATTAACAAGAAGAATATTGAAACCAGAAGAGAGTTCCACAGGCTTGAAGAATGCAAAAATCAGTCTATAAAAAGCAATAGCATTTCTATACATCAGTGATAACCAATTAAAAAATGTAATGAAAATATTTAGAATAGCAACAAAAACTGTATGATACCTAGAAATAAGTATTTTTAAATGGAGATACTTTTTAAGAAGATTACTGAAGAATAAGATAAAATTTTAAATGGGGAAATAGAGAATAATATCAAATCCTGGTGAAAACCTGGAGAAATGGAAATGTTTACTGCTGCGGTCATTTGGGTAAATGAGTACTACGAGCTTAGGAGGACAGTAGGGTATCTGGTCTCATTAAGATAATGAAGTCCTGTCAGTCAGCAACTCCACGTCAAGATATTCACGCTAAAGAAACTTGTACAATGTGTAGAAAGAAGCAAAGATGTTCACCATATACCTACTTGTTATGATAAAAATTAGAAAAAAATCAAAATATACATAAATCAGTAAGAAAAATGAAGTGCAATATTTTCATAAAATTTGATACAGGAAACAGTTCCAGTGATTGAAATAGGTCCTCATGTCTGAGCATTGATAAATTTCAGAAACTTCAGGTGAGGTGAGGAAAACCAATGTCATCATGCTTTCATTTGTGTGAACTTATAAGACATAAAACAGTTTTATATTGTGTGGACACACACATATATAAATTAAAAATTTTTAAATACACTGATATGTGTATTTCAGAAGAGTAAACTCTAGAGAAAAGGGGAAAGGACTACGATAGAAGTGAAGTGAGATTCAAATGTGCCTCAATATTCCTTTAAAAATATATCTGAGGCACACATGGAAAAATGTTAATATTTTTCAACCTCTAGGTTATGGATAATGGATAATTGTCATATGTACTTTTCTGGCACTTTAAAATAATTCCCAATTTAAAATTTCTTTAATCAAAGGAAAAAAAATTCCTGATTTGAAAAGACATAAATGAAATTAATATGTATCAACTACTATCAATTTTACACATAAATTTTCTGTTAT